ACCAGCACCCCCAGGTCCTTTTCTGCCAGGCAGCTTTCCAGCCCCTCTTCCCCAATAGAATAGAAGCGCAAGTGTGATACTTGTGCTCTTGGCTATGTGCAGGAAATCTACTTTGCAGTCGGTGTGCAGGATCGTATCCCTTGTAGGCTCAGCCAAGCTGTTGTTACCTGATCTGAGTAACTGTTGTATCAATACATGTTTTTTTGGGGGTCCCACAATTACCAGTGATCAACTGGAGCAGTGTTATGTCCCCTATGCTATTGTGTGTGCTAACTCGAGCAAAGCAGGTGTGAGTAGCGTACTAAACCCATGTGATGCTTACAGGGCAGGAGCTGCACCTTTTTGCTTGCAGGGTAGCCATCCCATAGCAGGGTGAGCCTAACATTATTCCATCATTCCTGTGCTCTTCCCTGCTTTGCCCCCAGCTCCAGGTGAGGTACTGCTTTAGTTAATGAGCAGCCATCTGTCTAGGGGGATCTCTCCTGGCTACTGCAGGGACTCCCACTATTGCTCTAGAAGGGTTGCTGAGGGCCTTTGGTTGCTCTGGACTCTGCTGTTCAGGTTTCCTTTGGCAGTTGTGGAACTGGTTTCTGTTGGCATTCAGTTAGCACCTGGTTCCCCTTATCTGTAGTCCTCAAAAGAGTGCAGGACTGATTGCCCCTCCAGGGCCCCTGCAAAAGCCTCAACCCTGAGGCTAGCGGTTCTTAAACTGTCTCTGCTACTTAATCAGACAGGGAAATGTTTAACATGGACTAAGGAAAAGATGCCTATGAAAGCTGGAACTTTGTTGTAGGGCTGGCGCTTGGAACAGCATCACAAATCACTATTATTATTTGGGTTGAGGGAGTAAAAGTAACATGGAGGAATATCATAGGGGGCTTGTCATCATGTAAGCAAGTGTGATGACTGAGTGCTTCAGTTTAGGTGTCCTGGGGGAGAATGGAGCTGAATATTCCCCAGAACTTAAAAAGTAAATAGGATGCAACTTTTTTTCTACATAGTTTCTCATTAATGTTTTCAAAGAGAAGAGCAGGTTTTTTTCTAGGCTAAGTCTATGAAGATGAATGAAGACAAATGTTGCAGGAAGTGTTGGTAGAAGTGATTTAAGTAAGTTTTCTTTTGTGTGAAAAATTCTATATTCTGCTCTGGTGTCCATAATAATGGTCAGTATGTTACTGTAATGTCAGAAATACTCCTTAAAAAAATAAATAGGTTGATCTTTCTTCTTGTTTAAGCTTAAGCTGTTATTCTTCTGCCAATTTGAGCCAAGACTTTAATAAATTATCCAGCATTTAACTCCCTGGTGCATAATGGAGACGTGTACCGTGCTCCTGACACAACAGGAAGCCCGGATCCTGCCACAGAGAAAGGGCTCGAGTGCGAACCTGGCTCCAGTGAACCCTCACTGAATCTGGCCAACGGTATTTTCCTCCTTGGCTTAATCGTTGGTTCATTATCTTCTGAAAAGCAATAGCAAAAACTTGCAGCAGTTGAATGGGTGCAGTTTAATTTGCCTACACAAGGACTTGCTTTATAAAAAGCAACATGGAAATATTGTAAAACTCTGTCAGCTGCTCATAAAGGAACTTTTGTGTGTAAGTTGCCATATAGCAGTAATAGCAGCTGGGCGGTATTTGCGCTTTCCCTTACCTTCCTAGGATGTCAGGTGCCCTGTGTATTTCGGGCATCATATATTCAAGTCTAAACAGACTGTAGTCATCAGTTCCGACTTCGGACTTCCTGGATTTCATTTCTGACTGCTACTTTTCCACTTTTAGTTTCCAAAAAATACTCGCTACAAGCTTTCTGCTTATACTTACATGCAATTTCCATTCCAATAAACATTTTCCTTACAGCTTTTTCACAAATTCAACACTTTCTGAAATCTGCTTTATTTGCCCTTAGTCTCACAGCGCTGCATGTAACAGCACTTAACTCATATCAGCAGGGTCATGGTGGCAGTAAATCATGGGATGCAGGAATCACAATTAATCTGGGGCTTTGCTTCTAGCGGGGTAGTGTGACCAGGACATGAATTTAGTTGATTATCTTTCTAAAGGAAACTTGATGCAATGTTTCACCCCCCCCCTTTTATAACTGAGTCTTGAGTTACTAGTTCTTCTCTTTTAAATGGAAAAGCCAGGATCCCTACTGCTTTTCATTCTCTGTCTGGTTGCTTGCAGGGTAAGATCTTTGCTGTAACCCCCTGGTAGACATTCAGCCTGCTGTGTTCTGCCCTGAGTAGCTTTACTCCTGACCTCTGTAAAACAGCCACTAGGCAATAGCGTGGCTGGATACGAAAAAGATGTAATCCTCTCTCCTTTGAATAGATGGGAGGGACTCTGCTGGCTCCTGGGATATTACCTGCTGGCTCCGCAACTTTTCTTCTGGTTCTCTGTGTACTGCAGTTCTTGTGCCTCAAAGGGGTGGCAACAGAGGAGGAAAAAACTTAAATGAAGCTAGTGCTGTAGCCCAGGGCAATATTTAAGCAATGCAGTTTTTTTCTTTCAGGTGAAGCTTTCTACAGTTGCAGCAATGCTGCATTAGGCAGCAGGAGTTAGCTCTTCTGCCTTGTCACCCGTCAGCGGTGCATGTGTAGTAGAAATAAACTTTTGAACTATGTTTGGGGAAGAGAAGAAAGGGTGCATTGTGGCAAATGTCATGATGCACAGCCCTTTCTGACTTTGTTGATATGCGATCTTGCGAGATGGCTTTGCCATAATGCTTGGTGTTTTTACTACGCCTGTTTTCTCTTCCCTCCTCTCCCCCCCCCGCCCCCATCCATCTCATTCCCCAAATCATTTTACGGGAGACTTTTCCTAGTCACTCAAGTGGCCTTAGCCAAGCTATTTCCTCTCTTTGTGCTTTAGTTTCCCCAGCTGTAAAATGGGGGATAATGAGACCTGCTTTCTTCTGTCAGGCACTTATGATGTGCTTATGAAATGTGCTATTAAAAGGCTTTTTGTGTATAACTTCTATGCAAATAGCAGTTGTCCAAGTTTATTTGAATTACTTTATTAAAGTCCAAGGTTTCGAACATCCTTTGTTTTTAACAGAGGATGTTATTTATGCAGGAAAAATGCTCAAAATATGAAGCTATTGATTGTTGCTGATAAGTTTATGGATATTAAAGCATTAAATCATCACCGCCTATTATCAGCTGTTCCGGTGTCTTTGGAAGCTGAAAGTGGTTCTGCATAGCTAGGTCCCTTGATTACCTCGGAGTGATCAATAAAGGGTTTTCAGCAGAGGCTTTTATTGCCACGTGGTTAAAATGTTCTTCCTGTGCACCCTGTACGTGATGACTTCAGCTTGAGGAGAAAGATATAACAATCCTTTGTGGGCTAACTGGATTACACAAAAGTATTTAGGCATTATGTTGAGGTAGATGTTGCCACTTTGGATTTCAATTCCCCTCCATCGCCTGTTGCATTGCCTTATGCTGGGAGGGTTTTCTTGCTTGTCATCGTGCTTGTCCAGCAAGTTTTGTGTGTTTTAATTGCAGCAAACTGAACGGCATTTGGAGAAAGGAGGAAAGAGTCGGAAGCAGAGAGGCACAATCAAAGCTAAAACTGGGCAAAACTGTACAAAACCTCTGTCTCTCGTTAGCAGAAGAGTGGTGGCTCTCCAGTGTCTGGTGGCTCATGAACGTGGAAGGACAGAACCTGTCCGTGAAAGGAAATGCAGAGCCCAATTTGAAAGCACTGAGTGCCAAAATGGGTGCTCAACGTTGTCTGCAGGAGAGCTTCGTGCCTGCCAGCCTTCATTGCTCCTCTCTGAAGTCGTGTGGGGCTCAGCCCTGCTAAAATGCTGATACTGGAGTTACAGCCCTGAAATAACCTCAAAATACTCCTGTGGACTTAGCATTTTATTACCCACTGAGAGCACGGTAACATAGCTTGTCTTTGTGAGCGGCTCAACAGCAGCTTTCGTTTTGTTTTGCAGACGGTTTCCATCCTGGAGCAGAGGCTGACGCTCACTGAAGACAAGCTGAAGGAATGTCTTGAGAATCAGCAGAAAATCATTCAGAACAAACCAAGCTGATTTCCTGAGAGAAGATGGGAGCTGAAGGCATTGGGAGGTTTGAGGTTGTTTGTGTTCCTAACAGACTGTGTGTGACTTGCTTTAATGATTTCGAGCACAATCTATTTTTCAATTGGAATGTACAGTTACTGCATCTGTAAAAAAGCTTTGTTACTTTACTAAAATAAAAGGAATATTTTATTCATAAGCGTGGATAATGATTGTGATCTCCTGTGTTTTCCAGAGATATAGCAGCCAGCATGTGATCTGAGTACTAACTAGGAAGGTTGCATCTCTCCCGCCTTTGATGCTGCTGAGTTAGTTTTAAAACGTTTAAGGATCTTGGAGTTGCCAAATGTCTGGCGTGGGCTGTATTAGGCTTGTTGCTGAGGTATGTGCTGGCTATAGGTGACAAGCAAAGAGCTCCCAGGATATTTTGGGCAGTGGGAGTTCATCTCTGTTCTCGGACCGTAGTGAGCAGGTGAGGTCCCAGCGCAACTGGCACCTGGACAAGGGTCTGTCTCATCCGAGTCCCAGGTGGTGCCTAGCAAATCTGACAAAGAGCAGTTCAGACCCTGGATAGTATTTGTGCAGAGGTGATTAAATCTAATGGTGGGATTTAACCTGCTCCCTTGTGCAATGTGTGAAAAACAATTGCTTGAAGAGGGGCCCTGGCTGGTCAGATGCAGGGTGGATTCCAGGCAGATTTTACTTTGTCTGTCTGCTTCTTAAATTAAAGGCAGGGTAGAGGGAGAGGAAAGGCAATCAAATAGCAGAACGTTTGCTCCATTGTGGAAATTCCCTCTTCTCGCACTGGACTGCCTTTAATTTTCGGTCATTTTGCAGATGTTTTCACAGTTGAATAGCTCATCACTCGCACCTACGCTCTTACCCTGCTCCCTCATCACTCCTCCTGACTTTTCAGGGCTTTAGCAGGTGTTCAATATGTAGCTGCACAAGAATTTGGACTTCTGGGAGATCCTGTTCTCCAACACCTCTTCTGCAAATACACAGTGGAGGTCTCCTTTCTTGCAATAAACTATTACTCACATTCCTGGAGAAATGAGCTGCGGGAACTTGAGCACCTCAGGGTTAATGAAACCCTCCTCACCACTGTCTGTCTGGCCTCTTCAAACAGGGAGGCTACCTCAATCTCTACCCTTGGTGGTCCCTCCTGCTGCCACCGCCTGCCAGCCTCACACAGCTTCCAAGGCCCCCGTCTCCAGATGTGCTGTGGGCATTCTGGGCGGCGCTTTCCTGAGGCCTCGCTGGCATCCTTATTTCACATGGGGTTTAGCAGACCTTAAGGCCAACCCGTGTGGTTTTGGCTTTGTTTTGGTTTTTTTTTTTGCACCTGTTTCTGTTGCAGGCTGTGGCTGCTGGTACAGTGTCTTGATAGTGTTAATCCCCCTCATACCATCTGGGTGAAGCTGTTCGCATTCCCCTGCCATCACTAGGAAGCTTCTGGTCTCCTTCCCTCCTGGTACTTTCTATACCTCTAAGAACCCCTTGTTGGCATTATCACGATATTTTGCTTTTTCATTTGCGGGAGGCTGAGCACTTTCTCATTTCCATGCTTATTGGGTTGATTATATATCTGGGTTTCTCTCTGCTCTGCCACAGACTGTTTGTTTTCTGTTTCCCAGCTCTGAGTCTGATAAATCGTTATTTTCTCTTAGATTACGCTAATGGAATCAGTTCAGTGATATCCTTCCATGCTCTTGCTATAAGCTTTCAGTGGCTTTCTGCTGAGAGACTGACATTGTTTTCATTGAAATGAGCTTATGTTGTGATATGGGTGGGTGGGGAGGAGGGGACTCAAAGGTACGTGTGGCCAGTTTGCTGCTAGGAGAAGGCTGTTCCTGCCCTGATCTGCCGTCCCTGAAGCGATGACAAAAATGAGTTGCAAGAGCCTAATTTATCAACTTGGTCCTCAGTGTTGTGGACTGGCCTTTGGGATGGGGGTGTGGAGGGGAGAAGAAAATTTAAGCTATTCCAACATTCATCAGTTTTTAAGCTTTGCTTTAAAAATAGCCTTTGCTTCCTTTTAATATGTAGCTTCTAATGTAGAGACCACAGAAGCAATTTGTATATAGTATTTTAGGGAGAATGGCAACACAAATGACTTGGGCACATTCGATATAGACACTTTTTCTTTTCAGATGTTCTGAGTGAATCCATTTGAAAGATTTATTTGTGCTTCTAAAACAGATGAGACGTTCAGGTGATGAAGGGCAAGCCAGTAGGATGTAGGGAAAGTTGCTTTTCTGGACTCAACTTCTTAAAAGCACTCATTTGATCAATACAACGTATTGTTGTAGAGGTAACCCAGGGTGGGTGGGTGTGGGGAGTTAGGGGAGAGGGAATCTAACAACCTCTGTATGATTTAGGTGGCAAGAAAGGTAATCTGAAGGGAATTTCTTCTGACAGTGCTTTCCATCTCAATCATTTCCTTGTCCCAAATCTCAGCAATTTCCTCTCTCTTCATTTCCCCTCCTCACAACCCCATACCTGGAGTTAGGATATCAGGACTTAAAATGTACCAGCACTTCTAAAGGGCGATTATTGCTTGAGAGGCAGGCAAGGTGTGGAAAATGCAAGATTTAAATTATAATCCTTGTGCTTAAACATTGAGCAATAACCTCAAAAAACATCTGAGGAGCCCAAATCCTATTGTCTGTCTTGTCCCGAGGCTCCATGCTTAACTCTATCCCCTAAGCACCATGGTTTTTGAGCACTGAGGAGTGCGTTGCGTCCAGGGTGAGTTAAATCCACTTTTCCTTTTACGCTCACTATCTTTTGTTGACTTGGGAACATCTGCAGTGACTGATTTGTAAAGCTGTTAACTTGGGGAGCAGTGGACCAGCCAAGCGAGGAGTGCGTTGTTTGTACTTGGGCTGACACCGCTTCTGCGCCGTGTGAGGATATACCCTACCTTGAAAACTGCGTGCAGTGAACTCTGTGCACAGGGAGGCTACAAAGAGTTAAGGGTTTTGTTTTGGATCTCCAAGGCATGCTTGAAGCCAAGTTCTTAAAAAAGTAGTTTAATTTGTTGCCATTACATTTGCCAGACGTATGACCTCACTAAACTTTTAGCAACAGTTCTTTGTGCCGAGATTGGCCCCTGGGGAGCCCGGCGCTGCTGCAAATGGCTTTTTGGCTGCTATGAGTATGGAGCATGTTAAACATAACCGTGATCTGTGAAAAAGTAAGAATCTTCAAGCACTGCCCACTTTCCTTCCTGTCTGGGAGCTGGAATTGGACAGATGCTACAGCTGAGCTCATAACTAAAGAGACAAAAACACCAGAGTGCTGTGGTATTGACTCTTCTGGCCGGGAAGCAAGATGGCCAGGAGCATCCTCTGCCTGCAGGGTCGTCACTGGACATGAGTCTGCCAGCTAACTAGAGAATAAAATCCAACTATGATCTAAGTAGCTGGGCTAAAACTAGCCAGCCTCATGGTACAAATCACTTATTATATAACATCTTTAAAGAGCTGCTTTTGAACGAAATGTTTTTTGAGACACGAGTGAGTAGGAGGGGAGGGAAGCGAATCGTTTTGCAAAGGTTTGTCACTTGTGACGTGAGAGCAGGGCTGCATTTCTTCTCTTGCTTTTAGAAATGGTTGGTCTCAAGTGCTTCTCAAATGGCGTGACCTGATCAGATGTAGTTTTGGGAAGGAAATGCGATGGGAAAGAAGATTCTCTTACTGATGCTTATCTGCACATTTAACCTGGATTTACCGTGCCATAGGAAGCTTATGTGTGTCTCCAGGAAAGCTGGGATCTATTTCCAGCTCTGCGACAGAACTGCCATCGCAGGCAAACATCACTCTTCAATCCTCTGCTCTCCTTGTCAGGGGAGATGCATATAAATTACTTTCTCTTTCGAGGTATGGGTTCTGTGGATGAAGAGCTCGTTAGAGATTTGAATGTAGTGTGGCAGGGAAGAGAGAGGTGGGCTCGCTTCCAGAGCACAGGTCTCTAGCATCCTTGACTTTCTCCCTGTCTCTTGTAGCACAGCAGCCGGCGCTGCTGGGGGATGTGTGCTGAGCGCCTTTCTGCTATTCAGCGCCAGTGATGGCTGTCGCCTAGGGCTTCAGGTGGAGTTTGAAGTTAACTGGTATCATTTCTGAGCAAAGATCGGGGATGCATGCCTACATCAGCGTGTTGGGAGAGGGTGCTGTGGGGTGGTTTCTGGTGGGGGATGAGCATCGTGAACCACTGGGGATGTTCTGGCAGAGGGTAACTCATGGTCTGCTTAGCTGCAGCTGAGACGGGCCAGGTGACCACTGCTTGAGGCCATGAATTTGCCATCTGCAAGGAAGTCTCTCCCCAGTGACCACCCTTAGATTTCTTTATACTCACTGTAGCCCTCCAGTCCTTCCTCCCCGATAACGCAATACAGCTGGAAACACACCATTTTGTTGTCACAAAACAGGCTGAATCAGCGCCGTGACCCAGTGCCAAAAAACTGTCACCTCAGTTCTCCTTTGCTGTTTCTGCTCCCTGCAGGCATCTTCCATGCAGCTAATAACTCACTGCCGCCTTCCGACACCGGTCAAGCCGAGGATACGGTGAAGCTCTGTGTGGCACAACGATTTCTCTGCAAATGTCTAGTGAAAAGTGCTACAAAGGCTGATCCTGCTTACTCCAAGAGCTTGTGGCTGCATGGAGCGTGTGCTGTTGGTGATAGCTGTTCTTTCAACTGGTGACTGAAAGGGTTAAGCTAAGTAGCTGCCTGGATGGAGCTCCTGCATGGCCTCACTTCCCTCTTGGGCGGCTGCTCTTGGCAATGTTTCGCGCGGCTGCTCTTGGCAATGTTTCCATCGTCATGTTTGCACAGCCCTGCTGAAGGCCAGAGCCGACCTTTGGTGTGCAGATCTCCCAACTGGAGGAAGAACTTCACTGCTCAGCTGAAATGGGCAGATCTTATGGGCCCTCCCAGCTGGGGAGTATGCTGGGCACCATGAGATCCTCCCAGGAGGAGAACCTCCTCGCAGCATGATATGGGCTGGGGGGTGTCTGTGTCATTGCTTTTCTCCTTTTGTGAATCTACTGTCATGTGTAGATGCCGTAACAGCAAGAAAGGCTCTGCCTGTCTGCTGCTACGCTTAGTTCATATGGTGTGGCAGGCACCTTCTGCTAACCAGAGTTAACTGAGATGGCTTTCAACCTGCGAAAGCCTAGGAATATCTCTT